ACGGCTTTTAAAAGAACATATGTTTCAGCTGACATTTTTTTATGCTGTCTGAACGATTTATTGTAGTACAATTTACTTATTATTCAGTTTAATCGGAGTGCCTGTGAACTCTCCCGCTTTTGATAGCCTAAGACCAAATATTTAGCTGCAAAYTAGCAAGTTACTTTGTTAATGTAGAAATGTGTATTACATCGGTAACAAAGAATATCACGGGTTCCGCAGTTTTTTGTGCTTTGTAAGGAAACCCATATTCGTGATATATTTTATGCTAGAAGTATAATTTGAGTAAGAAATTTTAAATTAGCGGCACATGGTAACTGATGTCGTGTAAATTTTTAGTACAAAATCAAGTGGTTCAGGAGGTAGATTGCAGGCTGTAGGTTGTATGTACTTGAAAGGAAGGTTGCAAGCAAACAAACACCTTCGTTATCATTATTTTCGGTGAACACGTTTAGTTTGGTAGTCAGTCGGCTCTTACGTAGACTTCTTTCAAATCCTAACTCAGGAAAAAAAAATAATAACAACAATAAAATAAAAAACAGCGGCAGCAGTAATAGGAACGTTGTCGCAAATGCTCAGATCACTCTGAACGAAAAATACTTAATGTAGTTGGAAAGGTGGGCGATGTCTTAGGTGTTAATGTTATGCTTTCTCAGTTCGAATGAACCAATGAGCTGATTATCTTAGCTTAACCATGTCCGTTACGCCAAAAAGCCTGATCTATTNGTGAACTCTCCCGCTTTTGATAGCCTAAGACCAAATATTTAGCTGCAAAATAGCAAGTTACTTTGCTAATGTAGAAATGTGTATTACATCGGTAAAAAAGAATATCAAGGGTTCCGCAGTTTCTTGTGCTTTGTTAGGAAACCCATATGCGTGGTATATTTTATGCTAGAAGTACAATTTGAGTAAGAAATTTTAAATTAGCGGTACATGGTAAGTGATGTCGTGTAAATGTTTAGTACAAAATCAAGTGGTTCAGGAGGTAGATTGCAGGCTGTGGGTTGTATGTACTTGAAAGGAAGGTTCTGCTTCTATGACCATTGATTGTAGTAAGGTTTAAACATCCTGAAAAATGGGAAAAGAGCAAACAAGCAAACAAACACCTTCGTTGTCATTATTTTCGTTGAACACGTTTAGTTTGGTAGTCAGTCGGCTCTTACGTAGACTTCTTTCAAATCCTAACTCAGGAAAAAAAAACAAAACAAAACAAAAAACAGCGGCAGCAGTAATAGGAACGTTGTCGCAAATGCTCAGATCACTCTGAACGAAAAATACTTAATGTAGTTGGAAAGGTGGGCGATGTCTTAGGTGTTAATGTTATGCTTTCTCAGTTCGAATGAACCAATGAGCTGATTATCTTAGCTTAACCATGTCCGTTACGCCAAAAAGCCTGATCTATTCAATAAGAAATCACGTCAATCATTAGCAAACATAAAGCACTATTTGTGAGGTTCAATTACTTAATCGCTGGCTATCGCGTTATTTCAGCGATTATAACAGAGCCTGTATGCTTGTCGTGTTTACATGTATGTCTACGTGCCGAAGACTGAATATCTTAAATTTAAGGCATTATAGCAACGCTGAAAAGTGCCACTGAGAGAAATAAACCGATGCGAAACCGATTTCTGAGATCGAGTCACTTGACATGCATGCTTTGAATCTGCCTTTCTTTATCGTTTCTGTTACTGCAGCCAGTTATTTGCGCTCAAATTTCGCGTTTACTCAGTTAATCATTTCATCTGATATTTTAGGCTGAAAAAATGTGACTATAAGTCTTTTACACGTCAAGTTCATGACTATCTAAAGCTAAACTGACCCATGTACATCAACCAATTCGGATGATTTTTATTATCTTTCATCCTAGGACATTCAGCCTTGAAAGATCCTGCTTGCCAAAGAGCTGAAAAAACATAATTTCCTTTCTTTGCACCCAGGAAAAGATATCTTGACACTTGCATCTGATAACAATAAGTGGACAAAATTGAAATGCGGATGTGACTTGATCTTGTCGAAAAGAATGGAAATTGCGTTTTTGTATCTATTAATACAGCGACTACGTGCTTCCATTAAATTGACATAAAGTGCTTGTTTAAAGGATGATATAGATTAAATCCGTTTGCAGAATTCGTTTCCGTTTAACACCTCGACCAAGAGTCGATAGGCGATTGTCTCGCCGCGGAAAATATCCTACAGTGGACAGAAACTTCGTCAGCGAAAGAGCATTTTTTTTAACATGAATTTTTAATAGATTCTAACCAAACCGTATGCCGGTTTCTTTTCCCATACACAAAGAAATCAGGAAGCACTACAACCCACATATATACAGCTGAGAAACATTCGAAATAAATTAAGTGACTCGTTAAGGAAAGGTTCATCAGGTTTTTGTTACTTTAAAATGAAATATGAATACCTTATAATAAAATGAATGGTAAAATTTGGTCTATGATGTCAACTGCAACAGAAAAGAGAAACTTGTAAATAAGTTAAAATGCAAATTCTAATTGACGCTTTTAATGGATTACAAGAGTTTGAACTTATTTACTTTGCTCTTATTTCCCTGACAAGCTGGGATACTGTGCTTTTCGTAAGTTTCTTTGTCGTAAGTTCAGTATTTGCGTTGATTGTAACAACTTCTTCCTCGACTGTCATCCTGTTCTCATTTAGCATTTGCCGAAAGCTTTCACTTTTTCACATTCACAAAGTAAATTAATACCAAGTTCACAGCTATTAGTCCTTTGTTAAATGTTTTCTTTGAGGTCAGGGCGAAAGTAGCGCTTTAATCGCTCCAGTTTCTGATGGATTCATTGAAACATCAGCGAACAAAAGACTCTTAAACAGCGACGAAAAGGCAAATAATCCTTCTGCAGGGTCACCGGATACGCCATAACCTACATAAATGGACGATCAACTAAACGTAGTTCCAACAAGCTTTGTTTTACTGCCACCTCAATGGCGTCTACTTCTTCGTTAAAGTTATTTATCACCTATCTTTTGCTCTTTAACATTTTCTCGGATGGATTAGCCTTTTTAAATGACGGAAACGATGTAGATACTTACGAAGCAGCAGATATAACCACGACTGAGTATCCAGATGTAGACATGCACGAAGGTGGGAAAGTTATTTAATGATTTACTATAACGATAGTTAAAACTGCTTTCAAAATAGTATTACACGTAGGCAAAAATTGAAGAAAAAAAATTCTCAGTAATAATGCTTGGCTGAAAATAACCATGTAAAAGAGAAAGAAAAAAGGAAGAGACGGAACAAACTGTAATCTTACGACAGTCGAAGATATTTCATTTAAAGGTCCTCAAATCTAGTCCGGTCTTTTTCTAACAAAAGGACACCATTTCCTTTCTCTTTTTTCTAAAGGAAATTGACATTCATTCAGTTTCCAAGACGAATTTCGTTCTAGTACCGTGCTTCAGACACAAATTAGCCTTAGTGTTTTTTAAAACAATTCAACAATGAAATCGAATTTTTTTTTACCTAAGATCTGATTGAACCAACCTGGTTTCGCTTTTGTATGTTGGTATATCAAGAAAGGTTTAAAACGAAACTAAAAGCTAGTTTGGAATCTTACTTTAACAAAAGCTTGAAAACAACTAAACGTAATTTCGAGTAGAAACTTCAGATATCGATTACAAATGTTTTACTTGGCTTTTGAAAGCCAAGCATGGCCAAGTTTCGAAAACAGTGGCCGCGAAATATTATGTAATAACTTGCTCTCCTCAACTTTTAAAGGTAGCTATCCGCAAGATTACATCCGCGAAAAGAGGTAAAGTGGATTTGAGTTTTACAATTTTTCATTCGTATTACTTGCAGGTGAAATGATCAAACAAGTCCATAATCCTTTATTCTCCGCGCCCGAGACATTCAGCAAGAAAGGAAACGTTGGAATTATTCAGCCTCCTTGCGAGAGATTCGGCTGCGGTAAACGAGAAATCTATGCTCATAAAAAGGCGTTTCCTAAAGGTTTCTTTACATCTAAGATTCGTCAACTGCAACTGAAAAGAGCACAGACATGGGTTGGTCCTCCATCATGTGGTAGATATGGTTGTGGAAAGAGAAAGTGAAGGCTACCAAACGATTTCAAGTTTATCAGTGTTACTGAGAAGGTTAGTTTGTGTTTGAATTATTCAACATTTAGTTTTCGTACAAATTCGATCAAACTCCATCTGGTTGTCTTTAATTTGTGAGAGTACATGTTACTTAGAAATTTTGAATGAAAAGTTAATTTAACATGCTATCGATAATATCATAATGTCATCGGAATTTCGCCTATTATCATTTCTCCTTATGCGCTAAAGCTAAAATATAATTATGTGAGGAAGTTTAAGTAATAGGCGTTATGGTTTACGCTGTTATTTCGTTTTGCAAAGCACAACTTAAATAGTAACAGTGCGTGAACCAAACAAGGACTTGTGAGACGTAAATGACAAAACAAGCTGAGTCCGTGAAATAACACGAAATATCAATCCTATGAAATATTTGCTTCATCTTTTTCTTTTCAGCACTCTCTCGATTAAATCATTACGAGCAAAAATAGCTGATTTGTTTGTTTGTTTGTTTGTTTTTTGTTTTTGCTATAATTCAGACTGATAACCTGTTTGGAAGAATACACTGGGTGACGCAATGTACCTGATTGTAAATCTAACACCGTCATTTCGTCTGAAAACAGTTAAATTAATCCTTTCTCCCGTCTTTACACCTTCGGAAATAACTATATAATTCTGAAGTTTAATCCGTCGCACTTAGCTGCCTTTGTAATTACTGTACGGTTTCTCGAGTTTGCTTTCATAATGGCTCTTTTTGCTAGCATTGTGTTTGCCTTCGGGAAATTATTCCCATCTAGCTGCAGGGCTTGATGTTGAGAGAGTGATTTGAGCTTTATTTCCCTCATTTCATGTAGCACGTTCCGTTGAAGCGGCGGGAATATATTTGTATCGCAGGGTTCAGATAAATATCGCCACACACTTCTCGTGTTTATTTAATGATGTTGTGCAGCCAATCAAATTGCGAGTTTTCCAAGTTCAAGCGCATCGTAAGTGAGCGCAGCCAGCAATGAACAGTTATCATGGTACCAATACGCAAGTAAATAAATCATTACACGGATTCGGTCAACGTGTTTACATGCTTGTTGCCTCACAATCCAGACCACGTGATGATTCATTTGGGAGGGTATAATTGTGCAATTTGCTACGCGCAACTGATTGCATGGGAGTATGTACAAACGCAGCAATTGTAACCTCCCAAATGAATCATCACATGATCTGAATTGAGTGGCAACAAGGATGTAAACACGTTAGCAGAATCCGTCTATTAGGGCTGCAAGCAAAAACCGTCGTCTGTGGCGAATGCTTCAGTTTTCGTTTTTTACTTATAGCCGATTTTCATTGCAGGCAATTTAAAATTCAAGTTACTCAACCTCCCCATCCTTCCTTAGCACGCCGATAAGGATCTAATCAACAAAAAACTGCAAACTTAAAACAAGAAGGAAAACAAACAAACAAACAAAAACAACAACATCAACAACAGCAACAGATAAACAGGGTGGGCTGGTTGATGATAATGCATGTATTTCGATCTTACAACTACTTCCGCTTCATTTCTAGGTTCCAGAAGTTAAATGCCAACAAGAGATAGAAGAAAGTTCATAGCAAAAAGAAAAGCAAGTAAATGGAAAGTTAGAAAAATTAAGGAAACGGATAAATAATGTATTACTTAGATAAATAAAAACGCGGCATTAAAATGTATTCTGTTTTTTATATTTTCTGTTGTCATGGCATCCTTGAAGGTGAAATATGGCCTTAGTTTTCTTAAGGTAACAAAACGCCTGTATTGTGTTTGTCCGATCATTAAGATTTCAATGGAATATACCCATTAGTGTTCAAAATTAAGGTCGCTTCGCCATCTATCTATTGGCAATGTTATAAAATGATTAATTTATCATTGCTTTTAGCCGTACATCGTCGAGTTGTGATGTACTTGGGAAGTTTAGAAAGCAGTCAAGAACCTAGAGTTTCTTTCGACTGCACCAAAATCAAATTTAACGTTTCTTTCGTGCTCCCCAAATTTCATAAGTGAAGCACACTAAAATATGAATCAGTTGCCTTCTTATGTTTTTGACTAGCTCGATCATCTCAGCATCACAGCTGCGCTCTCAAAAACTACAGCCAAAGTATTTTACGTTCTACGAAAATCAGGAACCTGCTCCGAAATGATCCCCGAATTTGTTCAACTGGGTCTAAAACGATATCCAAGTAAGTTTAGCCGGAATATCTTTAAGTTACTTCGGAATACTGAAAATCAAGAGAGTTCTGTGTCAGGCATAGGCGTACGGGCACCTTCGGACTTGGGAGGGTGGTGACCTTCTTGCCCGAAAAAATTACTCAATGCCCGAATGTGTGAGTGTTGAAATCGGGATGCAAACGCACTCAAAATGCGTGACAAACATAAACGTTCACAAAGATAGTTGAATTGGAAGCTTGCATACTCAATGACCTCTATCAACAGCCCCAATCTAGTAAGATCTAAAACTTAATCTTATTAAAAGAAAAAGTTCTTTCAGCGATCGGCTGATCAGCAACACTGACATTTGTGTTTGAAGATGGACCGTTTGGACGCGTTACAGAAGCAATCATGTATTCGAGACGAAAGTCTTTAAAAGGAAAGGCCGAAAACGCTATCCCGCTGACTACCGCGGCGTTTTCGGTGCGCCTACGATACATAAGAGCAGCTGCAGATACAAATGGTACACTTTATACGGTACGGTACGATTACACGGTACGCACACGGTAGTGCTTCAGGTTCCAACTCACTGAAGTAACCGCTGAACGGCCTACAGACACCCATTCGGGCGTCTAATCACACAGAGCTTCATAAAAAGTAGAAACTTTTTTTGCGAGTTTTGGAAATCACATCAACAGCATTATTTTGTAATGTTTTCTCTTAAGTGTCGTTGCCCGAATCATTGAACGATATTTTAAAAATTTTAATTGCCTTTTTCATTTTGTGGATGGAATAAAACAGGCAATTAACTTTCGTTTCTTTGTAAGGCTACCGCGTAAATCAATTTGTAAGTTTAGCCGAAAAAACTCGTCTTATCTCTTTCAGCAATTTCAGCTGAGTTTTTATGCAGTTGACAAACTGGGCTGGATAGCACGGATTGTACCGTTTAATTTAAGTCAGCTCAAAATTGATTTGAGCAACGTTACGGTTATTGAAGATATATATTTTTTTAATTTTTAGAAAACCAAACACAATGTTTGTTTTAAAAATGTAAAATTACAAAACGCAGTCTGTCTCGTCAAGGTCTTAAGTTAGCACTCAGACCTGAGGCTCGGTTAGTTCAATATTTTCCTTTTATATTGCGGTGCCTTAGTCTTCTGTAAGCGTATGTCTTAGTGTTAATTTGACCTGACACCTGTCTTACCTTGTCTAAGAACAGTGCTTGAATTCGGCGTAATCATTAACCCTAGGCCCCGTCCACACTACTATCCGGGGGAATTTGAAAACGCAGCTAATTCTACGTTTAGGCCTACCGTCCACACTGATCCGTCGCGAAAACGGAGCTTTTCGAAAACGCTTTTAAAACCGGAGGGAATTGAAAACAGTGCTTTTCATTTTCGTGTGGACAGCAGACATTTTTAAAACTGAACTTTTTGAAAACGATGACCTCACAATAATCACGTGATTTCCGTATCCGAGTTTTCCTCAAACGCAAATCGAAAATGACGGGTGATTGTGGCGTTTTTTAAATTCCTCCGGCGTAGTGTGGACGGGAAACATTTGATGCGTTTTCAGAGCGAAATCTTCCTTGCCACATTCCTCTGTCGTAGTGGGTCTTTAAGCTTTATATCGTTTTTACAATAGTATCATTCGATATGTCAGCTGCTGTGGCAATATTTTACTTCTATAGACTTTAAATGAGGTTTTCGTTCTTTATTTCTAGTATTGTTTGTTTCTTATTCATTGTTCTCAAGTTCAGTTCTTGTTACTCTGAGCTAAGGATTCGTCAATAAACGTAGGCAAATGGTGTATTGTTCTAAGGTGAAAGTTGCTTTTCTCCTTGTTGCAGAGTCATATTATATATCGTATGTAGAGCGGTTTTCCGTTAACGCGTACTTGGTCAAGACACTTGACTCTCACGGTGCCTCTCTCCTTATATATGCAGGAGTACTGGTGAATTGCTACAGCATCGTGGCGAGGGGAAGGGGTGGAAAACGGACGGTGAGCGCCATCTCACTGCGTCATGTAGAGTTGTATACAGTATACAGTGTAAGTGTGCCCACTCTTTCGCAACAGTCAAACATGTCCCAAAACAGGAAAAAACAACAACAACAATTAAGAACGGTATTTGTTGATTTGTCTGTTTTTTATTTTTTAAAAAACAGGCTGGAAATTAGAAAATAGTTACTTTGAAAATGCCATAAAATTTGCCATAAAAGTAATAGTGAGTTTTATTCCTTTTAAAGTCTATTGCACGCTACTTTTAATGACTTACACCAATATAATTTTCCGCTATATGTTTTACAAATTTCTCCTCTAGCAGGCCATTTTTATTGGTTATAATACGATTATTCCAAAGCTTCCTTACGGCATACCGGCTAAAACAGTTCCGCGAAGCTATTTTAATATTTGATACCATTTCCCGCTGAAGGGCTTATTTTATACTAAGTAATGATATTCTTTTCTTGAAAAATTCCTCAACTAGTATTCGCAAAGCATTACAAAGAAAACCCATGAAATAACCATTATGTTCTGCGCCGATGTAATTAGTTGAGCAAAGTATTAATATTGGAAAGATAAATGATTCAATGTTGCCGTTGCTAATAATATGTAAACTCAAAACTCAAGGAATAAAATATGCTTACAGCTAATCTTTTATGAATGTACATGCAACATTTCGCAATGATACCAGGTGCAGCTGCATAAAATGCACTGTTAAGTTAGTTTTGTTTAAACTTGTTTACATCTACCCAGCTAAAATTTAAGAAACGATGAGTTCAATGTTGTAAATTATGTTTTTCTTTTTAAGTTTAACAAAAAACGGCTCATATTGGAGGACCAGCACTTTGAGCGTGGAAATTTTCTTTAGGCGCTATTACAATAAATCTTCCAAACGTTTATTAAATCGTCTATGTTCACGCGATGAAAAATGCACAGTATTTGCAATCTTAAAATCGTAATTACCGTACATATATGTACAGTATCTGTCATTTTCACAACTAATAAAATAACATTAAGGTTCTTCCTAGATCCCTGTGTTCTTAGCAAGACAGTTAATTGAATTTCG